CAAGATTAACTTAAAATAATTCGTTTGAAAAAATAAATGTAATTTGGGAAAATTGCTAAACTGCCATGAATGTAACACTTGTCAAAATCACTTCTACAAATATTCATGTGTGAGTCTATATGCTAAAGTAGAGGATCTGAAACACTCTGTATGCTTTATTTTTGTTCACCAGAAAATAACATTCATACACCTTGTGGTACTCACAAGAAACAAATCGAATTCTAACATGTGAGTAATACAATTTCTATCTCTTTTTGACTGGAGATAACAAACACAAAATGAAATAACACTTTTTAGTACTAAGCGACTAAAACAAAATTTCGTGAATTTTTTTGAACCTGCTTCATGAAATACTTTTTACACGGAAAGGTAAACGTTTTTGAACAGTTTAATGTATTTAGTGAGGAGATTTCTGTAAGTGATAATCTGTTTTCCTAATTTGGTAGATAGAACTGGAATCTCCTGTGGATGAAAATTTAGCAAACCCGTATTTGTTCATATAAATAGGGTACGTGGGTTTTTGCAACATAAAACACTATTGAAATGATTTATGGAAATTAACTTCATCACAATATTACTCATTCATTTGTGAACAAAGTCAAAATACACATCAACATGTTTGATAACATTTCTTTAAGAAAAAAAGTTATGAAGTGGGCCTTTTCAAAAACACAGATATTTATCATGGCCCGAAATTAATTACGTAAATTATAAATGTAACCCGAACAAAAAAAATTATGTAAAACTTCACCAGTACCTAATATATGGGATTTTCAAGTAATCAGTCTGTTGAAATAAGTTTTTTGGTATTAAATTTCACGGTGGGCCATCCTAGGCTTAGCAAAATCAACCTATCTAAAAAACAAAAATCTTAAGGTGGATAATTTTGGTAAAATCAAGTAGTTCTTCAACTAATGATGAAATATTAGGTAACAATGGGTATCAATAGGATCTTTGAAAAATCCAAAGCTTAATAAGCTCGTGATCACATTCTGGATATAAGAATTCCTCTACGTCGTTTTTTGTTACCGTAGAAAACAACGACAACGAGTAACATATATATCTGCTTCTCGTTAAGCTTTACAATTTTTGACAATATCAACTTTCAGCTCCATTTTCTTCTGGTTTCATGCTTCTTTTTTACAAAAACCCTCTTTCATTTTAACCTTTTTTTCTCTGTTCCTCCATAATATTCGTTTCTTTGGTCATTCATTCGTCTTTCAGTGTTTTTGGCCTGTGTTTTGGCGTTTAGATCTCTTTTCGTATCATCAAACAAAATACTTGGTTATTTTTGCCCAATGAAATCAAATGCTCTCCGTCTTGGTACTTTTGATTGTTGCAAAGTAAGGCATTTGTACCTATAAATATTTGTATGCATCGGGCCTCTTGCTCTGTGCGAGCAGCTTCTTCATCAGAAAGATCTAGTTTTTTTTGCATCTGTCAAAATACAAACGTGTTGAGAATCGTAGAATGAAAGTGTGACCCCTATTCGTATATATTCATGTCAGTTGTTGTTAGTTCTTCCACAATATCTTCAGTAGCAGTTCAAAAGAAGGAACTGTAGTTAACCAATCTCTTACATGGATACGTTGGCAAATGTTTTTTGTGACTGAGACAGAAGCCGAAAAGTTCTTGGTTCAGGGCAACAATAAAATTCACCTCATTCACCTCGAGAATCGCATATTGTTCTTATTGTTGAAACCCAGTGGCTCTAAACCCGTTTTTAATTCTCTTGAGTAACACACTTAGGGATTACTCCAAAGAAAATTTCGTTATACTTTGCTTTCGTGAGTTTGATCTCCGGAAGGCATCGACTTATCTGAAAGTTGTCACTTATGAGTGATGTTTCTATCTGAGGCATCTACAATCCAAGCATTCAAATGCAAAACAGCTCCATCAGAAACTGGCATACATTTCCCGGGTGACTTATTGTTGCCAAGATGATGGATGGAATTACTAAATAAATCAGCAATTATGCAACCTTTTGGTGCCATTCTGTTCTTGGTGTTTTACCTTCAAATATTAGCTTCATACGTGAAACTGAATTACGTGAATCTTTGATATTCATGACAATGTTTCTCATCATGTGTCTGGCTGTATCTAATGAAAATAATTTCTGTACAACAGAACAAAAACACTGGTCTAGTGTAGGAAACATGTTTTGATTAGATACAGCAAACAACATATAATGAGAATTATTGCCATGTGTGTCAAAGCTTCAGGTGATTTAGTTCCGTCTATGAAGCTTATGTTTGGAGATAAAAGACCGAACAACAAGTTTGCCTCCTGACACTATAGTCGGAATGGTACCAAAAGGTTGTATAACCTTTATATATCTTTATTTTCCTTCTCTTGCCTTTTTTTGTTTTCAGCATCTTTCTATTTCTTTTTCAGTTTTTCCCAATATCACGCCAAGATGGTATCAAAATTCTCATAATTTGAAGTTGTCGGTTTTTAGATGTCCCTTCATATTTTTGTCTTCTTTTCATTTTTATGTAGTCCACATGTTTAAGCTTCCGCTTCATTTTCTAGTTACTTTAATTACATTGTTTCTCGTTTTCACCATAACCATTTCTTCTGCTTATGCAATTATTTGAAAGTTATGTGTGAATATATTTTCGTGCTCCAAATCAGTGCTATCAATTTTTTTTTTGATAGTCTTCCATTTCATTGGTTATATAGAATATAAATGCGAAAGTCACTCTTTACTGGTAAGTCCCAGGAAGCTAAAATTTGGTATATAGATGCTTCTTAGGTCTTGGATTGACATTAAGGAATGATTTTCAAATATTCCAACTGCCGCCCCCTCCGTGGGGGGAAAAGTTACCTTTCATCATTGTTTCTCCATACCGGTATATTTTCGAAGGCTGAAATTTTGTATGTAGGTTCGTTTTATGTCGTAGATATGCAATAAGAAAGGATTTTTAAAATATTTCAACTAAGGCACCAGCAGAGAGGGAAAAGGGTCGCCCAGAAAAGAAAAGTAATTTTTCATCACTGTTTTTCCATGCCCTTGAATTTCCGGTAGGTGAATTTATATTAAGTATCAGCATTGCACCCGTACGGAACCGGAGCGGGTCACTAGTTGGTAATTTTCAAAGTTTCGTGAATATCTAGTGGCTTTGAAAAAAAGTGTAATATAGCTACTTTCTTCTCAGAAGACATTTTGATGTCTCCATTCATTCCGAGTCATACAAGGTTGGTTAACTTCTCTGAAAATTACTCCCCAGCTTTTTTCAAAAATATATTATAATCTTCTAGTTATGTCTGATGATTTGCTAATCTACAAATGTATAATGACTCAGTAATGTTTTATTTACGGCACTATGCTATATCTGTGAAAGAAAGTTTTTGGCTTTCTACTACTCCATCTCGTTACAAAAAATGTGGGAATCTTCCAAAGAAAGGAAGGAAGTAATCAATTTTAAAATAAGTAAATCTATACAGGGATGTGTAGATCATGCAAAGAAGTAACTTTCAGACACAAACTGGAAGGGAAAGCAGTTTTTATGCATGATGGGGCTCCCGCCCATTTCAGTCAAGTAGCACGTCAGCATTTAACTGAAACATATGCAAATCAGTGGAAGGACCACAGAACTGGCCCGCTTGATCCCCGGATATCAATCCTCTCGATTTCTCTATTTGGGGCCATTCACAGCATTTGGTTTATCGTACTCCTGTTCGCGATGTAGAGGACTTAAGAAACCGCATCATCGATGCGTGCAGAGTAATCAGAGAGACTCCAGGAATATTTGAGCGAATACGTGGCTCAATGCGCCGACATCTAGACGCAGCGTAATGTAATGAAGGCGGACATATTGAACATTTACTATGATTTCTACATGTTGTGTGTTTTGTTATTAAAAAATTAGTTTTGTTTATTACCTTTTAATCGTTTAATGCAGGTACTAACTACAAAATAACAATAAATCCAGTTCGCATTTATGACGATGTATCTCTGTAGTTGTTCGTAAAATAATTTTTTGCTGCGAACTGGTTTATTTTGGGCAAAAAACCCAAGAGACATTTTTTCTTTAGAATGAAACAGGCTATCGAAAATAAATTTTTAAATGGTAAACAAATAATAAGACAAAACGTTACATTGGAAATAAATTTTAGCGGTTGTGTTTTCCACCCCTTACAACCATGGGGTAAACTAAATAAATTACTGGCTTAGTGTCATTTTGGTAGTACAAAACCTCAGGTTAATTTCAATATTGTAACTTTTTCAGTGCTTGTAAAAAAATTGTTAATGAAATTTCATGTACCCCCTTTAAGAGATGCTCCAATGAAGTTTCTTTATATGAAAGATCCAATCTTTTTTTCGATGATGAATCACCTCCTTAAATGTTTTATATTTATTCAGTTACACCCTGTATACAGTCATTGATTAATACAGTTATAATAATTCTTTTGTTAAAATAGGACACATTTTATTTAAAAGGTGAAAATAAATAGTATAGTGGCAAGTAAAAATTATAAAAAGTAAGTCAAATGTATAAAAAATAACTGTTATTATATTTATTTACACTGTTATTATATGCATTTCACAATTATTTTTGTATTGATTACATTTTTCACAGTAGTTCTGTTTGCCAACGAAAGTTTGAACTTTTTGAAAGATACCAGAGTTGAAATATTTTGTGGTAATGAATTTTCATTAACTGGTCCCAGATAAGTTAGACTTTTTTGTCCTATTGTTTTTTTCCTGTGATGAACATGACATGAGTTATCGGTCCTGCTGTTATATCGATTTAAAGAAAATATCGATTGGTGTATCATGTTTGAATATATAAAGACCTATACACTAAAAAAGTATGTTTGTCTCACCCCATGTGCAGAGTGTCATTTCAACTAATATTAAAATCCTCACAGTCGAGTAGTCATTGTTATAGAATGTCTAGTTTGATTTCAACATTTTAGGTTTTTTCTAATGTGAAAAATATATCACATTATTCTTATTTAATAATATTCCAGACGAGTGTCCAAAAATTGATTTCATCACTTCTCCGATGTTGATGAAGAGAGACCCTTAAATTGTTCATGTTTTCCTTGGTGAGGGTGGATTTTTAATTTTCGCAAATATTGACGAATGCCTTGAGTCTGAAATTTATCATCAAGAATTGATCATTATAGATAAAAAATAGAGACTATTAATGATAATTGTTATTAAACAATGTGGAAAAGGAACTGAATTCGTAAGAATTCCCAGCGGTATTTGTTTCCAAAGTTTTGTTTAATTCTAAGTGTTTCTATATTTAACACACTCCGGTAAATTATGGAGAATTTGGTGCAAACGCGTACTAGAGTGTACATCAGTTCCACGATGGACTTTAAATCGCGAGTTAAGAACTGGTGGAAGAAACTCAGAGTGAAAACTGTTTTTCAACACATTGGACTTCTGGTGGCGCTCATGTGTTATACACTGATAGGAGGCCTGGTGAGTAGGATTTTTAAAATTTTCGAAAAGGTTTTTTATTTTCTAGAACGATTGCCAATTTCAATATTGGGTTTTGAGTTACAGGAAATCTTTGTCCAATTAGGTGGTGTGATGTTGGTGACTTAAAAAATCTACTTCTCTAACCCTTAAATTTTGGATTACGATACAAAAAAAAAATAAAAAACGGTATGGAAATTATATGAATTGAAAGGGGTGTCTTTTTGGGAGAGGTTGATTTTTGGGAAAGAAATGTTTTGGCATTCTACTTTTCTATCTTTATACGAAAAAATGTGGGAATTTTCCAAAGATAGCAATTCATTTCACAATAACGTAGTATAATTGTTATTTTCAGCTACCCTTTTTAATTTTGATTTTTATTTGTTATTTCAGAGATTTCAAATCATATTATATCATATTAGACAATGGAAGTCCGAACTAATAAACATCTACTGTTATTCATTCAGAATCACTTTTGTTGAGAAATACCATTAATACTTTGAACATTCTGAAATGTTCTTCGATCTTGTTAAAAATCAATGACCTCTGCCATTCAACTACCCAAACCCTAGTCATTTAAATGTCAGGAAGACGAAAATATATTTTTAATAGCACCCAAATTTCCATGTACATTATTTAATCAATTTATTAATTGAGTAGAAAATAAGGTACATATATCGAAATTTATGAGTTGAAGTGTAACAAATTTTCTTCAAATGAGTGTCAAATATTTTGAGTAGGCGAATCGTTCGGAAAACACATGAATTCGAAATCAACTTAAAAAAACCAAATCATCAAATAATAAAACTATGTATCATATATCATTGGATTTTACATCAAACCCTAACTTCATTTTAGTCAAAGCGCTAGGCTCAATGCGATATTTTTTCTGCGAGGGAAAAATAAACACAGTTCATAAGTCTCACACAATAAAATGTTACAATATGATAATCATATATTTCCACAAAGTATCGACCAATGTCCATCACATGCAACATCCAAATTTTGGCCATTGAAATAATGTTGCTGTAATATTAGCAGACCTACCGTTTTCAAAATAACAATTGAAATACAGTCAAAAAGCTGTGAGGTAGTAAATGTGGATAAACGTAAATTATTCATTACTTTCTGCTACAAATATCGAGTTTCAAGTACTAGTAGAAATACAAAATGATATAAAGATATGATAAAAATGCACACGGTGAAAAATTATTCCTGAAAGTGAAAACGCAGATTTTTCTTTATATCTTTCTTTCTCAATATTTACCATCTCAAGTGTTGAAAGGAGAAATCGATAAACTCATAAACTTTCAATAAATTGATGAATGTAGCCGTTAGTTACTACGTCGTAGGAGATCATAATGAAAAGAGAAATGAAAAGTTCTATGTTTTTTACTACTTTTAATTGTAACTAACGTTACTGTTTTAGTTTATTGTATTAGTTTGAGAATGTCCATATAGGACGAAACTGCAGTAACGTTAGTTACAATTAAAAGTGGTAAAAAACAAGAAATTTTCATTTCTCTATTCATTATAAACTCTCAAATGAGAAGTCCATCTGCAAAACTCATGAGGTTCAAATTTTGAAACTATTCAAGAAATGGCGGGAACCTATCAAGCACTCAAAACTTAATTGATTTCAAGTTGCCAAAGTCACTTTGTTACTTTTATCTTGCAAACACTGCTATATTCCTTTTGAAGGCTTGCAAATTCCGCCATCTTGACATTTCACCTGAAGCAGTAAGTGTGCATGCAGTGTTTCGATTTTACACATAACTATGAAGCTTTTTGTGCTCTACATTTTCATTGTATTTTTTGTTCATAATTTTCTTTGTCAATAAAATCTATTTATTAAATCATCTGAAGGAACAATTCGTTCAGGCCAGTTTCTATTTTCCTATACGGTGAATTATTGGACTGACACCTATCAGAAAACAACTACTCCCCTGGCTAATACCACGAAGGGCGTTGGATTATATACGACCGGTGTCAGTGCAGGATTCTTCACTGAAGTTATTCTTGCTTATGCTGTTGGCGATACAACTGCCGCAATATATTTTCAATCATTGGAACACATTTGCCACTCTTCAGTGCAAGGTAGTGTCTATCATCAACATGATGTCGATGATTTCCGATAATATAGATCGAATTCTTTCAGAGTATCATTCCTCGAACTAGGCTGAAACAGACAACAAACAACAGGTTTGTCATCACCCCATCTGCCTGTGAACTAGGTAATCAACGGCATATCCGAAATTTGCCCCATTCCTCGTATAAGGAAAGGAAACTTCTCACATATAGTCAGTGGGCATACTTGAAGACTGGTTATAAATCAAATCATCTCAAGGAACAATTCGCTCCTTCCTTATACTTTGCACTGACCAGTGGACAAACAGCTCGAAACCGTCGACCTGTCGAATATAATCCAATGCCTTTCGTGGTATTAGCCAAAGGAGTAGTTGTTTTCAGATGATTTGATATATAGCCCACAGACTATATGTAAAAACTCTATTTTCATTATTATCATTGTGAATACTGGTTTATTGATATTATCAATTTTCAAAAATAATGGCAATATAAACCAAAGAGATATAGAACTAACTGTGGGAATATCACAGTTAATGCAAAATAAGAAAACTTAACATGCGATGTGCTAAATCTGTTTTTGAAGCTTTTACATAAAGACCAATGTGAAAATGTTCTCTTTCTCAGCAATTTGATGAGGTCACGAGAGAATGAAAACGAAGTCACACTGATGATGAAGTAGATAGAAAATACTAAGATAGTGAGCAGAAAGACTGTAAAAAACATCAACATAGTAAGATTAACAGTAGTTTATAGTTCTTAGGTTTGACATTATTGAACGAAAAATTATATGCCAATATTTCACAGTAGCTATAAGTAGGTACGTTTCGATAACTTTTGAATATAAAAATGTAATAAACGGAAAAACTATTCTATACTGATTTTATTTATTGTATTCATAGTAGTAGTACCTTTTGACTTCGTAAAAATATCTGATTTAACAATATAGCGGGAACTCCATGTGGAGAACTTGAAATGAGGTACAGCTTCACCATTTGAAACCTAATGATGGAATCTCACCCATTAGAAAGAATGCAAGTGAATAGGTGGAGAGTATGCGCAAAGGATTCAGTTACCTTCAAAATGGGAGTGGAATGTATGTGGATTGAAATCATATTTTTATTTTTTGGATTATTCATTATTTATCTTGACTATTCAATTTTCAGTAGTTTGTAGGTACATGAGAATTAGACATTTCACTTTTATTTTCAGTTCAGTGGTTGCCCCTGTTTATTTCATTTAATGTTAATGTGACGGTACTTAGTTACTTCGAAAGGGTTTTTTCTTCCACTGTATATATGAATGGAACCTTTATACATGCTCTTTATATTTTTGTAGTTACTTTCTTTCATCATTTCTTTGAACTCTCAAGGCCTGCCCTGTATTTGTCTCTCCATTATGATCCCATTTTCATTCACGGGAAAAACAAATTTCTCAGATTAATTGATAAGAAATTCTCCAGACTTCTTATATGTCTTCTGACGTAAGCAGAGTCATGCAGTGATCAATAATTAGCGGTTAATGGCGAAATGAAAATTATTCTCCAACTTCCGATTCTTCAGGAAGTAACCTTGTCCCTGGTTGTATGCATATTGAAAATATCCGTCCTGTATGCGAATGATTTGCTTTCAAAAGATATCGAATAACTTTCGCTGATTTCACATGCGAACGAACAATTTTTCAATTAAACTGAACGCCCTTGTGATCTCGGTCACGAAATAAATCATGTCACCATGTTATTAGGTAGGCAAATACTATAGTTACTCATGTAGCAGGAACACGGGGAGGCTTTTATAGCAGGCTATAACGTTATAACTCACATTGAAGTTAGAGTTCACAAAATATATTACGTTCGATTAGCAGATGATTAGGCATTTTTTGAAGTGCGAATATTTCATGTTGGTACATACATGTTGGTACATACTTGGTATCATTTTTCATCTGCGGATCAAATGATATGAATATCACTGTAGTTTTTTCCAACACCTCGACACATGTTTCGATCACCAAGTGATCATCTTCAAGAGGAAGATCTTCATCTCCAGTAATATTAATTACTATACCAAAGGTTCCAAACAGTGCATCATAAGTATCAAATGATATATTTGAAGTTGGGTGTAATTTATTTGGTCAGTCTCTTATGCCATTGGCCCAACCGTTGATTTTCAAAATAAAAAACTGTCCACTATTTCCACTATCCGCAATGTTGAGAGTTACTTTTCAACAAAAATTAGAAATAGATAGTCGGACACCTTACTACAATAACACAGTTTTCAAAATCTTAGAGTGGATTGTTGATCAGCAATGAACTATATACTTAAAAAAAGAAAGGTTCGAAAAACTGTAACCTAAAAGTGGATCAAACTTCTACCCAAAGGAAGCTAAGTGAAGCGTATTCAATTTGCAGGCAAAATTTATTCATGACTTGTACTATCTACGTATTAAATTTTTGGTGTGAAATTTTTAGTTTGTCTGTTATTACACATTGGCAGATTCTCCATCTACTGTTCTGAACAGGACAGGACAGTTTCTCAACCTTTCCAATACGTTTTGAACCATCAAAATCCGCATGGGAGCTGACACCCAGTTCTTCTGCCATCCCACATACCGTTTGTGATCGGTCAGTATCTACCAGGGTCCCCAAATCCTCGTCCTGGTTCACTGTAGGTCGACCACTTCGGGACTCGTCTTCCAAGCTAAAATATCTCGACAAATACTTGTTTTTGAGTTTTGAAGAAATTTATCGCTATTTAACATAATGAAAGTCACACTATGATGAATTTTTATGTGAGCTGAATTATTTTTGCGACAGAAAAAAATTTCAATGAAAAAATAATTTCGTCATTTCTCTCGAAGTGTTTTTATTATTGACAACTTTGTATGGAAAACTTAGCTGAAAACATCAAAAATTCATCTCG